AGGCGGTTCAAGTGGTGTCCGAAGTGGTGGTTCAAGTAGGTGTCGTAAGTGGTGCAGAGGTAGGTGGCCCAAGTGGTGGTGGTGAAGTAGGATTCCCAAGTGGTGCCTGATTTGAGAATTTTCATTGTTACAATCTGTTTGGATAACTAAGTAATACTCGTTATTGTATTTGTACTACTATGTTCAAATTTGGATAACTACGTAATACTTGTTATTGTATTTGTACTACTATGTGTTGAATTTTCATTGTTACGATCATTTATATATGTTTTTCAATTATTTATGTGTTTCAATTATATGTGGTATAAAAATATCTCATTGTTAATTTTACTTTACAAAAGTATTTGAAAAAATAATAATATATATGATTATTCTCCCACAATCACCTTAGAACAAGCTTACACTTTAAAGAAGGGTTTGTTAATGTGATATACTTTAGTAAGTGAAACTCTAGAAAAATGTGTTTCTGCAAATATGATGGTGCATAATCATATGAAATGTGTTAGAAATTTCAAAAATGAACTAGACTACTGAAAATTTATATTTTTAAGTAGGTATAATTGATTAAGTAGGTAAGACGTCAAAAGGACAACTATGGTTCTATTTGTTACACTGGAACACTAGGGATAACTATGTGTTATATAAGAAGCACATATCTTAAATCGTGGCATAACGGCGCACACGTGGATTTTTATTAAACACATTTTTTTCAATTTTATGGGGTTTTTATTTCAAATTTTCCCAGGAAACTTAAAAAAAAAAGTGAAACCCACATAATTTTCCCCAAATCGAAATCTAGGGTTTCTCTGCCCTTTCTCCGATTGCGACCACGAGCTCGAAATCGAGTCTTTCTCCGCTATTCTCCTGCCATTTCGTCAACAGCAACGTCTCCGTAAGTTTAATCGCCCTCAATTTTAGTCAATTTAGCTTGTATTAGGAGGAATACAGATCTGAATCGCACTCAATTTTGTATAGAAAATGGGTTAATGGAAACGCATTGACATGTTTGGTGAGGAGTTCGATACTGGGTCCAATAACAGCGACTCATCATCTTCGGATGACGAACTCATCCTCCCCAAATATGATTATATGGTAGATATCACTCCGAATCGTTTTCCTCCGACTCTGGAGACATGGGAACCCTCACCTATTGGCATTCCGACCATATGTTACTGTGGAAAACCAGCTGTGCTTAAGACTCAAATAATTGGGTTGTTGATTGGTCAAAAATTCTACTCTTGTTCTGGGGATATTCGTGTAAGTCCAACTTATCCTATTTTGTGCTCATTGTTAGGATTCATCACTGTTATCCATTTTGTGTTTATTGTTATCCATTTTGTGTTTATGTGATAATATAAAGGATGGAGGTTGCCACATTTACAAGGAGTTGAGTGTTGCAATCATGGAGGAGATAACCAAAACCAAATTGGGAGAAATGAAGGATGGAGATTGGCGATCGTCTATCTCAATTGGGAGACCAAATTGATGAACAACAGAAGAAGTTTGAAGAGGTGGTCAACTTTTGCAATGAACAGAACAAAAAAATCATAGAAAGCATTCAGAAGGAAGTCGATTACCTAAAGGAGATGGCTTGCAGACTTTATGCAAAGGTAGAGGATTTAGAGATGGAGTTGCAGAGTTAGAGTGAAGAAGAGCTTATCCTTGTTCCTTGTTTAAGTACTTTTACTTTTGTTTAAAGGATCTTTGTTTAGTTTAATTACATTTATGGTTGTTTAAGAGATCTTTGTTTAAGTACTTTTATGGTTGTTTAAGGAATCTTTATTTAATTACTTTTAAGTATCTTTGTATGCATATGCATTATTACCAATATAACCTCC